TAATATGTTAATATATTAATATATAATATAACATTCATGTCATTATATTAATGTCATATATAGTATAAACGCTATAGTAATATTAATTATGCTAATAGATATACAAATGATATATCAATTATATTAACAATCATGACATAAATACAAACTAATATATTAATGTTAGATATTTTTAAATTATGAAATAGTTTGGTGTGCATACGTGTAAGGAGATTATAAAAGAAGAAACAGTTATAAGGCTATGTAAGTGAGGCCAGGTATGGTGGCACACATTTTTCATCCCAGCACTCTAGAGGTAGAAGCAGGAAGATCTCTGTGAGTTTGAGGCAGGCCTGGTCTACATAGTGAATTCTAGGGCAGCTGGGGCTGCAGAGAGACCCTGTCTCAAAAAAAAAAGACAAAAAAAAAAAGAATGTGTATAATACATACTGCCTCTCTCCCTGAATTGTATTCCCTGCCCCTCTACTTCCTGATGTTTTACCCTCCAGCCCTGGACCAGGCTCACAGGGTTCTACTATGCCAGTCCCAAGTATAACTGGTGCCTTATATAGGAACAACTCTGTGCTCAGGACCATGCACACAACAATAACACAGTAACATGCTCAGAGACCTCACAGCCGCTCTGCAAGACTAAAGATGCACTGGACAGCACCAATGTAGGGTTGTAGATCTCTCACAGTGTAAGTACAGGACATGGTGGGAGAAAAGGTAGTGAGGAGCCACACTGTCTGGATCAGGGAGGACATCAAGCCTTATCTGGGTTTCAGATCCCTGGCCTAACTGGTCTGTAGCATTATGTCTGCACCTAAAACATGCAGCTCAGAGAGAGGGTCATTTCTGCATGCTAAAACACACATCCCAGAAAATTCAGGAACCAAAAGGGAAAGAGAGAGTAAAAGGAATGAAACCCTGCCCTGGTCTCTCACTCGCTGCTTACTGGTGGCAAAACTCAGCCTGGAGTCAATGTGGCAGGAGTAGCAGTTCTTGAGTCAACTCCATTCCAGTTTCTAGAAGACTGTTTTCCCCCTTCACAATTAGCAAATTTTTGTACTGACATTTCCCAGATTGTTGGGAGAAGGGGCCACAGCCCATGATCCAGGTCTACCAATCATCACAGCACATAAGTCCACAAGGTAGACTAGACTCACTACCCTTCCCTGCTGCTCACTCTAGACTGGATAGGTACAGACGTGTGGCCCACTTGCTCTGGTATAGTAACCCTCTCCAATGGGGCAGATTTGAAATTCAGTGCCCTCAGAGATGCTCAGTACTGACTGATTCAGGAGGACACAGAACCCTGGGGAGTCCCCTCCACCTGGATCTATTGTTATTTAAGGACAGGTACCATTGCCCCCTTGGGTCAGATAGAAAACAGGTATGGGGAGGACAAGTGACTTGCTCAGAATATAGAGTGACAAAGCCAGGAAAGACTTCAGGCAAATGCTCTGATGGCAGAACCCCCTGTGGGAAGGGAGAGGTAAGCACAAAGGATTACAAGAGATTCCCAGGTATCTTCAGAAATCCTAACGTTACTGTTCCTGTCCTTCTGCAACTACAGGTAGAGTAGTTACCCTTACCCCAACCCAACCTGGCACACCTTCCCTACACACACACACACACACACACACACACACACACACACACACTTGCAAATTCAAGAATGAATTGCTGGGGCTTCTTTGGGAAGGGGGGCAGGAAGAGAGGAAAAGAAAGGAAAGGTACTCTGCCTGGCTTTCATGGAATCCTGACCTGTTTTCCTAATCAGCTCTACTTCTTCCTCCCTATCTCTTAAGCTTTAAGATTCCAACCATAGAAAGCGTACAACTAAAAGAAACACTAAAAACCATCTCATCCATTTCATTTTCCCATGGAAGACAGCCTAGAGCAGGGTCTGCCCTTATTCAGCAGCAGGTACCCTTGTAAAGGTCACGTATCTCCAAACCTGGGATTACTCACTGTAAAATAGGTATGAAGGGCTGTGGTGGGGACTGCCTGACTGCACTGAATAAGCTTCCCAGAAGTCTGGGCTACTCTGCCTAACTTCCCATGCTGGGATCTAAGACTCTCAATGAAGCAAGGGCCAGAGAAGGAACTGGAACCCTACTCATTCCATTTGACCCATAGGAAACATGCCTTTTCAAGGAACAGTCTTTGAACACAAAATGGAAGAATCAGTGGACAGCTTTAAGAATATTAAACACACTCCATTTTTACTTCAGGTAACTGAGTACTCAGATAATTTCTTAGTCAGCAAGGAGAGTTTTCAAGCCAGGTTGAGTGGGAAACCAATTATTTTTCAATTCTAGTGTGTTTTGGAATGACCAATTTGTCCACATTATTGTGAGCAAGGACTGTGGAAGTGGAACACAAAGTTGTAGGCCTCTGTGCACAGAACAGCTATTCTCCTCAGAAGCTCAACGTTTATATTGAGAAGCTTAAAAAATATTTTTTAAAAAGAGAGATAGCCCATACTTAAAATAGTTGTAATGCAGAAGTTCATCTTTAACCAGTTCTTTTGCTTACAATGCAAAAAAAACCTGAAAAAAAAATTAGTGGAGGGAGGAGCTTGAATAGCAAAGACCTTTGCCAGGAAATTTGTAAGTCCGTGGCTTCTTAAGTGGAGAGGCCTCATTGAGCCCTCAGTATAAAAGGCAGACACGGGACAGAAGTTCTACACTTTAGGGGCTTGCTCTGCTAATAACAAAGCCACAGAAGAAGACAGAGTTCCACCATGCCTGGCTCAGCACTGCTATGTTGCCTGGTCTTACTGGCCGGAGTGAGGACCAGCAGAGGCGAGGACACCCAGCAAGTGGATAGCTGCATCTACTTCCCAGTCAGCCTGCCGCACATGCTCCGAGAGCTCCGCACTGCCTTTGGCCAGGTGAAGACTTTCTTTGTGAGTATGATGCCCACCTATCCTTCTTCCTGGGACTGCCTGAACTAGACATTCTGCTGGAGCTATAAAGAGAGCTCTCCTTTTCCTCTCCCTCGTGTTCCTCTTCCGTGCCCAGCACCTATTCTCCTTAAATTCTCAGAGAGACCTAGGCCAAGTCATGGGTTCAGTGAGCTAAACTAAGTCCCAACATGCAGGAAAAAGACAGTGGTAAACACGCTGTCTCGCCAATGCTCAAGAACTTTCTTTACCTTACTACTAGAGATCCGTATTTCACTGACTAGAAGAAAGATCTGTGGTAGAAAATGCAAATTGCCTCTGCTTAGTCTCCAGATCTAGAAAATTGAGGGTTGGGGCAGCACGGTGCATGGAAAGTCTGCACTACAACGGTTGCCCGTTCCAGAGCTCTTGGAGCTAGCACTGGATGTACAGAGAAGACAGAGCAAAGCAAGGGAGAGGTGTGAAAAGGGATTCCAGAACTGAAGGGATGACATAGGTGCCTTGAAGCCTGATGTGGCTCTGCTAAAAGACCAGGCCTGGGTCAAACTTCTGCATGCCTGTTAAAATCAGCCAGTCATTTTAAAATAACTTGATTCTGAGCAGAAGGACTTGATTTAACACCTGGCTGCAGCACCACTGAAACCTGTTTCTACAACTCTCCTTTCAGTTTTTGCCAAGGCTACATTGGTTACAAATCCAGAATTCTAGAAATGGGAAGGCATTAAGAAGACATGCGTGTCAGGTACTTCCCCAGGCCTCACATTCACTCTCCTTTTGTTCTTCCAGCAAAAGAAGGACCAGCTGGACAACACACTGTTAAGCGAGTCCTTGCTGCAGGACTTTAAGGTGAGAGTTACAGTGGACAATGGGGAGTTATACATGATTAAAGAAAGGGAGGCACTGCTTGTGACTGCAGAAACCGGGCCTGATGCCCTAGCTTTCTAAAAGAGAAGTGGAAAGGCCTTAACTCAGCACATTGCCAGCAGTCAGGGGTTATGAAGAGCTCATTCTGAAGGGAGGAGGGATGCAGCTGGGGAAAGAAGGCCCTTGGGGACAACTGTCCATCTGCAGTAGCCCTGCATTCCAGTAACCCCCGAGCTTTGCCTCTTGCTCTTAGGGTTACTTGGGTTGCCAAGCCTTGTCAGAGATGATCCAGTTTTACCTGGTGGAAGTGATGCCCCAGGCGGAGAACCATGGACCAGACATCAAAGAGCACGTGAATTCTCTGGGAGAGAAGCTGAAGACCCTAAGGCTGCGCCTGCGGCGCTGTGTAAGCAGAAGACCAGTTCTTCCCTTGCAGCCTTTCCCCAAATACCATCTTCTATAGCCCAGCAAGGCAGCAGCACACATCCAGAGGCACACACAGACTAGACTGAGAACTGGGTAAATCTAGAGAGGCGCCTAGATTCAGGTCCCTTGCTTGTCTCTCTTGGACAGAGAGTGGGGGTGGCTGCAAGGCACTTACACGTGAAGATTTGCACACAGCTTTCCTGTTATTTGTGAGTCATTGTGGGCTATTAGCTGCTCCCTTCTCTCTTTGTGAGGGCAGCGCTTGGGTCACAGCTCTCTCATTTCTTTGGACCTGGGTTCTGGGCTGCCAGCCAAGTCTCCCAAGCAAAAAAAATATTCACTTCTCACCTTTTGAAAAGCCAATCTCCAGAGCACAGCTGATCTGATAAGGACCCAGAAGGCTACTGTCCCTGGGCTCATATCTGTGACTAATTCCCCCAGATCATTTACTGCTCTGGCTGAAGAGATGCCTTTACCACTGGTGCTTTGTTCTCTCCCTGAACTGGAAAATCAGTGTCTATTTACACAATAGTACTAAGCAAATGATTTTGCCTGACTGGCTGAGACAGTATCTCCATTCTCAGACACATAGAAATAGTCTTTGGTGGCTGAGATAGGGAAGAAGAGATAGAAAAAACACAGTAAATGTGGGGTTTGGGGAGACAAAGCCCCAAACCTGAGTTCACCCATATCTTGCAAACATCTGAGTGGCTCCAAAGACGGGCATTTCACCTTGTCAGGCTGTTTCTCTTCTGTTCCTAGTTTTAGTGGATATGACAAGGCAGAGTTCAGTTCTCCCTGGGAGTTAGGAGGTGGATATTCAAGATGAATCTGGACCCTTGGTGTGACTAGGTTGCTTCCCCACAAGTGCCATGGACACAGGACTTGAGCCAGGATTGTTAACCCTCCCTTTTCTTCTACAGCATCGATTTCTCCCTTGTGAAAATAAGAGCAAGGCAGTGGAGAAGGTGAAGAATGATTTTAGTAAGGTAAGACTGGATGGTGGTGGAGAGGGCTTGCAGAGCGCGGCCTCTGGCAGTAGGAGGTGGGGCCAGGCAAATATTGTGACCTCTTCCCCCAGGAGCCACCACCTCAGTTAACATCTGTTTTCTGCAAAATGTCTTTGGGAGTTTCTAAATGACTGTTCCCACCTTTGCAAGCTTTTGGCTTGGACTGACCACCCATAGTGTGCTAGGTGCTGGGGAGAGTGATAAAGGAAACAGAAAGTACAGGAAGTGGCTTGTTGGGAACCAGGCTAAACCCACAAGTGCAGAAAGCTGACATGTGAATGAAAGCACACAGGCACACCTGGGGCTCAGCCTGGACTCCCCAAAACTCAATGAGCAGGAAGCAGAATTCTTACTTACCTAGAATGGGTGCAAGTTCACTTTCCACCTGGCAAACAAAATGAGGTTTCACACTTCCAACTGCTTGTGAACCTCTCAAAGCCTAGTTCCCAGAAGCCATATGGCCTATGCCCTTGTCATGGTCTAGAAGAGGCACCTAGCCAGGCTCCATCATCAGGGGGCCTGAATCCAATGACAGTCGGCCAAATGGCAGGGGCTGCCCAAGTCCCCGAAACATAAAAAGTTTCCTTCTCTCTGTCTTTCACTTTATTGCTTTCAAACTGTTTCCTCTAATGTCTTTGCATCATATTCTGCATAAACATTATGTGAACACATGACCTCTAAAAATGTTGAAAAGGATCTTTCTGAAGACAGTGCTTTAAGACATGAATGTCTGCCTTGCTGCCCATTAGCTGTGCTTAAAGCTGGGAGGAGATGAGGGTCAAGGCAGCTAGACAAATTCTTAGATTCCTAAGGTCATCCTTTACCCCCAACACAAGAAATCAGATTTCTGCATTCAAAGTACTATCTATTCAAGTACAGAGGTCCCTTCAGTTCTCCAATAGATATTAATCAGTTGCTTCTCTCTCTACACAGCTCCAAGAAAAAGGTGTCTACAAAGCCATGAGTGAATTTGACATCTTCATCAACTGCATAGAAGCATACATGACAGTGAAGACGAAAAACTCAAATATTTAGAGTATATGTTGAGTCTACTGAACTCTAGGATGTAAACTGGAGATCTCTAAATCTGATCCAGGGATCATGGCTAGCAGAAACAGCTCCTTTGAAAAGTCTCATTGTACCTCTCTCCAAGAATATTTATTACCTTTGATACCTCAGCTCCCGTCATATTTATTTACTGAGCTTCTCTGTGAACTATTTAGAAAGAAGCCCAATATTATAATTTTACAATATTTATTTTAACCTATGTTTAAGCTGTTTCCATAGGGTAATATCCTATGGTATTTGAGTGTTTTACCAGAAAGTATAAGTTATATAAGGGAAAAAAATCTTCCTTGGGGAGCCAATTGAGGCTTCCATTCTAAGCCTGGCCACACTTCGTAGCTGCAGAGCTATTTTCCATGACCTCCCTCTAATTTCTCTTGTCCATGAGTTCAGTGCTCCCTGAAGTAGTTACAAAGACTCATAATCTTAACAAGAGAAACTAGGGAGCCCCTCTGATGATTAATCTTCCAGCAGTTCAGAGGGATTCCCCCAACTTCATTCTCCAACCACTTCACCCTTGAAAGCTGTGGCCAGATTGTTATTTATAACAACCTAAAATTGGTTCTAATAGAACTCAGTTTAAACCAAAAATAATTCAGTTCCTCTGGGAATGTTACATTGTTCGTCTGTCTTTGAAGCAGATTCTAATTTTGAATAAATAGATCTTATTCAAATCATATTATGGTGATCATTTAGTCCTGTCTCTTTAAAAACATTTTCCCTCAAAGATTCTAGGAGAGAAGGGATAAATGAATCCTGTATTCCAGAGAAAGGGTGCTGGCAACCTCTCTAGGAAGGGTACCTGCCTTACTTTCAAAGCCAACAGCATAAACCACTGTGGTCTTCCAGCTCAGTCCTTTAAGATTTATCTCTAAACTCTAGATCATAAAGTTTTTCAAAACTAAGAAAGGTGATTTTGCACATTCAGAATCAAAGGTAGGCAGAGTTTAATGTGTCTATTCGCCTTTTCAAGCTCCAAAGGTCTAGGGCTAATCTAGATTTGTCTAGGAAACTCTGAGGATTAAAGAAAGCGCAAACTAGTTCCTGGCACTGGGAGATAGTCCCACTACACAAATTTCGTTGTTACTGGCAATCAAAATTAAAAACTCTGCTAACAGGGCTGGAGAGATGGCGCAGTAGTTAAGAACACTGGCTGCTCTTGCAGAGGACCTGGGTTCGGTTCCCAGGACCCACACAGCAGCTAGCAACAATCTGTAACTCCAGTTCCAGGGGATCCAACGCCCTCTTCTGACCTCCTCAGGCATTGCACCACACAGATGCACTTATATACATGAAGGCAAAACATTCAAAAAATTTTAAATAAATAAGGGGCTGGAGAGATGGTTCAGCGGTTAAGAACATTGATTGTGTGTTGGTATAGCGGTGAGCATAGCTGCCTTCCAAGAACACTGGTTGTTCTTGCAAAAGACCCGGGTTTGAATCCCAGCACCCACATGGCCGCTAACAACTGTCCATAACTCCATTTCCAGGGGATCCGATAGCCTCTTCTGTCCTCTGCAGTCATTGCATGACATGGGTGCACTTACCTACACGCAAGCAATACACACATACACATAAATAAAATAAAATAAGCCGGGCATGGTGGCGCACGCCTAGGCAGGTGGATCCCTGTGAGTTCAAGGCCAGCCTGGTCTACATAGTGAGTTCTAGGACAGCTGGGCTATAAGAGGACCCTGTCTCAAAAAAACCAAAAAATATAAATAAATAAATAAATAAATAAATAAATAAATAAATAAATAAATAAATAAGTAAATAAATAAATAGACAACTAACATGCTTCCTCCTGCCTCCACATCCTGAGTGCAGGGATTACAGGCAAACACACACACACACACACACACAGTGTGCTGGGGATCAAACCCAGGGCCTTTCATATACTAAACAAATGATCTACCACTGAGCTAAATCCCCAACCCTTTGTTTCTCTGAGACAAAGTCTAACTATGAAGTCAGAATGGACTTGAACTCAGCTCTTCCTTCCTCAGCTTTCCAAATGCTGGGAATCTTCAAGCTAAGGATCACAAGCAACAGAGTTGAACCCAATAGAGTAGAATATAGGTAAATTGGCCTGCTCAACAGACTCCCCAAGGAGTCAACCAGTCAGTCACTTTTTCTGTCCCCTCCCTGAGCCACCAAACAAATGTGAGATTAGCTTTTGACTACATGGAGGCTGGGGCGGGGCGGCGCGCAGTGGCTGGGGAAGCCCTGCTGAATATCCCGTGACTTCGAGGATAAGGGGAAAGATGGGCTGAGTAACCCCAACCTCCCTCCCACACACACATACACGTGCTGGCCAGGCAGCCCTGGGATGAGGCGGGTGGGAGCAGACAAGCTGTGGTCATTTTTTCAGTAAGACCTGACTCACTTCGGTTAAAGTAACCATCGGAAGGAAGTGGGAAGCATCAAAGCTGAAATTCTGAGATGAAAGGTTAGAGTTAAGAATGGAGGCTAGGGCCTAGGGAGATGCTCAGTGGTTAAAGCACTTACTGTCAAGTATGAGGACAAATTCAGAGCCTCAGAACCCACATAAATGCCAGGTAGGCGTGTGATTTAATTGTGACTGCCAGTGGCCTGAGAAGGCAGAGACGGCATTCTCCAGAGCACCTGGCTAGCAAAATTAGCCATTAGGGAGCTCTGACTGTGAGACCCTGCCTCAGGGAGCACTGGAATATACCTGCCATCAATGTTGGACCTCCACATGCATACGGACATATGTGTGTGCACATCCATACACATGTAAAACATACATACACACACAGGAAAAGACTGAGGCTAGCAGAAGAGGTGGAAGGAGCTGACTGGTGCTCCCTACCCTGAACTAAAGAAGTCCCGAGCCCCTAGACAGGAACACTCAAGCAGCTAGGGCTCACAGGCAGCCAACACATGCTAACTAGCAGGAAGGTGCAAGAGATCAGGTGCCTGAAACAGAAACACATCTGGAAAAATAACACAGCTGATCTCAACAGTAGCTACATTTGCCAGCACTTCTTATAAGTGTGTCAGTATCAATAACATGTTATCAGGCCTACTACATGTTTCCATTATTGCTATTTTCTATAAACTCAGAAACAGTAGGGGGTTTTTTTCAGTTTGTTTTGCTACAGTTCAACAATTCAACATTCTATAGATCATGTTAGAAGTTCAGGGTTTTTCCATTTACTTTATTACTCTGACACATTGAACCATGCGCTGATTACAAATTAATCTTAAAGAATATCTATGCTCTGTGCTTGCTTCTTAAACTCCATGTTTATCTATCCCTGTTCCAGTATAACTAACATTCACATTAATAATAATGTGAACATGAAGTCATTTGTTGGCTACTCTGGTAAGCACTTGGTGTGTGTGTGTGTGTGTGTGTGTGTGTACGTGTATTGGTCTCTTTGAGACAGGACTGTCTTTAGCCCCAGCTGGCCTGGAACTCACTATATAGACTAGGCTAGCCTCGAACTCACAGAGATCCACCTGCCTCTGCCTCCTAAGTGCTGGGATTAAGGCATGCACCACCACCCCCACCTCCACCCCTACCCCCCAACCCCCACTTAGTATTTGGTATATATTAACTCATTTGTTGTTATGTAACTCTATGAGGTACTGGTTATTAACATCTCATCTCAGGGTCTCACCATGTGACTCTGGCTGGCCTAGAACTCACTATGTAAACCAGACTTAAACTGTTGGAGATCCACTTGCCTCTGACTCCCAAGTGCTGGGAAAAAAAGACCACACCTGGCCAACATCTCGATTTTTCATATAATGAAAATGAGGTGCAGGGAAGTGTATTATTTACCTGAGGTCATCCAACTACTAAATGACAGAGTTCATAATATTAATGATTATACCAAACTGTTATATATCATTTTCACACATAAATTACTAAATCGTTTTTTTCCATATTGTTTTGTCTCATTTTAAAAAATAGAGATCTGCCAGGCTGGTGGTACATACCTGTAATCCTAGAACTTGAGAAGCTGAGGCAGGAGAATTCAGAATTCAAGGCCAGCCTAAGCTATACTCAAGACCCTGTCTCAAAAACAGCAACAAAAAATTCAAGACCTATAACCCAGCACAATAGCATACACTTACATCTCCAACAGTTCAAGGGGCTAAAGAAGGGGACCACTGAGCCCAGGAGCTCAAGGCTAGCCTAAGTAACACAGTGAGACCCTGTGTCAAAAATAATAATATACATTTTTATGTATATTATATGTTGCCTGCATGTGTGTAAGTATATGTATATTATGTGTTGCCTGCATGTGCGTAAGTATACCCGTGTAATGCAATGCCCATAGAGGTCAGAAGAAAGCATCAGATCCCCTGTAACTGGAGTTACAGATGGTTGTCAGCTGCCATGTGGGTGCTGGGAACCGAATCCTAGTCCTCTGCAAGAGCAGCCAGTGCTCTTAACTGCTGAGTCATGTCTCCAGCCCCCAATAATATACATTTTTAAATAATGTGTCTCCATTTTTGTTTTTCTCAAGATATTCTTAATTTCTCTTCTAATTTCTTTTTTGACTTTCTGGTTAGGTAGAAGCATGAGAAATGTTGATACAACCTTGCTACATGGACAATAGAGAATGAGTAACAGCATGGCATGAAACTTCTTTTTCTTCATATCTCTGTATTAATTATCTGTCAGTGCTCCAAAACTTTAACCACTTGCAATAGTAAACACTTATCTCAGTTTCTGAAGTTAAGGAATATGAGAGAGACTAGTTCTATGTCAGGACCTCCAAAGAGGCTGGAGTTAAAATGACAACTAGGGCCACAGTCACTAGACTTGGGCTGGTGTAACGCTGTCACACAGCAGTTGATGAGTGGTCTTGGCTCCTTTGAGAATGTCCTCTCAACACAAGATTAATTTTCCCCAGAGCCAATGATCCAGGAAAGAATTAAAAGACGGGTAGAGCATCATTTCTGGTCTAATCTAGGATAACGTGCACTGCTGTTTCTGCCACATTCTAATTGTTAGAAGGGGTTAAGTATAATACACGTACAAGAGAAGGGGATTAGGTTTCACCTCTTAAAGGGAGTATCAAAGGATTTATACATATATTTTTTAACTTCCACACACTTCTAGTTAAAGGTAGCAGCTTTATGCTCTCTGCTGGTAGAGAAAAGAATGG